TTTTTTTTTTTGATTTGCACCGGGTGTCCGAGTCTCTTTGAGCCCCGACTAATCCCGGGGGTGCACATACTACGTATTCTTTTTAAACAAACAAAAACGGAAAACAAGACACATAAATTGAAACAGAGGGAGTAAGGTAAAAATAGACAAGAGAGCAAAAACCATGATAACTGAAGCAAGTTTTTTCTTTAAATTTTCTTCTTTAAAGTATTTCCATGTCATAAAAAGAAATCGGTAAGTAAATAAGTTATTATAAGAACTTATGAAAATGTAAGCAATACTTTGCACTAAATATTAGTTTTAAAGTGAATTCTCATCTTGTAAAAAAAATTTAGTTTATGTTTTCTGACCTAGCGACCCTATCCTTCTCCTTGATTTATGAACTAGGAGAACAATGGGACACCAAAGTGGGTAAGTTGATTGTTGACTTTTATTCCTCGCCCTCGTAAAGGTAAACATGGTGCACTCCATTCTTAGGGGTAAGAAGGATCTCCTTATCTCGCTAAATAGTGAACCTTGTGGAAGCTAGATTGTGAACATTTCATGCACAACTTCTTAAGGAGGCACCATCCCAAATTACTCTTCATTAAATTTATATTTCAGTTCATCACAACTAAATATACATATTTCCTTTGTTTTTCATTTCAATGAGAAAGGGATTCACAACCAGATTGCCATCCATTGCGAAAGGGATTCAACCTTCATGTTAACATACTTCCATCTGGCATCTATTTTGGTTTTGTCTGATTAAATTCTATAGCACAAAGGATAAAGTGCAGGAAGAAGTTTAATTTGTTTCTTCTTTGATGGTACAAAAGTTTCTGTCCTGGTTATTGGAGTTGAAGGTGTAAGATGTATCGACTCAGTTTCAAAAAAAAAAGGTGGTGTAAGATGTATTGATTGTTTTAATAATCTCTATGGATATTTGCCTAATCTTGTAAAAGGTTATAATAGCATAAGTAGCCCAAATACCAGGCCCATATCAAACCGAACTAAAGAGAACCATTGTTCAGTGTATTCATGTTTCCTCAAATAGTCAAATGTGATCCAACGTTTCACCAGTGTTGTCAAAGACGCACTTAAGCGCTGAAGGGAGGATCAAAACATGTTGAGCACTTAGTGTCACTTGATGTGCACTGCTGTGTCATCTTTGGGTTCTAAGGCATACTTTTCCTTGCTAATGAGCCTTTTCTAAAGAGGCGACACTAAAGAATTGATATTTCACTATATAGTTTTTTAAAAAAAATCAAATTTTGTTTATATATTTGAAACTCACACTAATAATTATTAGCCTTGGACTAAACATATATATTTGTATTTTTTTCTCCCTTGGTGCCTTTTTTCATCGAAGCCCACATTTTATGTGCATTTTGAGCTTAACAACTCGATGGACCTTATGGATTTTTTTGCTTTTGATAAGATTACGTTTCACTATCAATAAGCTCCACGTATCTAAAAGGAAAAGCAATTAAACTCTCAAGTGGCCTTGAAGCTAGAGATAGAGTGAGAACATACAAAAACTGGAATAACAGATCCCAACCACCTCATTAACCAAACCATGGAAATAGACAAAACATCAACATAATCGACAAATCCAAGATGTACTCCTACAAGTAAAGGGAGTTCGAATAGAGATTGGTTGTGCCCGAAAGGTTATGAATCGATTTACAAGTGGCACAGGATTTGGAAAATGAACTCTGCTCATTTAAATAATCAGTTGAATGAGCCTGAAATTGTTATAATTGGGAAACAGGTAAACATAACATGATAATTTCTATTCGCTGTACACTTACTCACCACCAAATAATTATTTCTATCTAATAAAAAACTCATTTTGGAACATTTAGTTCCAGGTATTCCTACTTTCACAGATCAAATCCAACGTCAACATTCACAAGCTCCTGCAATGTGTAGGAAACATCAAGATAAAACAATAACAACATACCTAGTGTGGAAACATCAAGATAGTGACTTCATTTCAATCAATGTGTAGTCAATAGCTCAGGTCATGTAATTAATAAGGAAGATGTCACTGATTATGCTAGCCTTGGTACGGTAATCATCCAAGGAATCATAAGGGTTATTCAATTCTGACCTATGCAACTGGTGTAATTGAGACAAATACCAGGAAACTAAGCATAACAAACATTCAGAAATGGAACCAACAGAAAGATCATGACCCATTCGTGAAGTTTAAGTACCTGGTTAAGAGGATTATCCGGAGATTTCTTCCACAGCTTCCAAATCAAGTCTTTGTACTGAGTGTGTGTCAGCCCTGGTTTCTCCTCCTTCAGAGCACGAAGCTCAGCCTCCTCAAAAGCCTACAAGTAGAAAAATTAACACCCCAAACAAAAAAATATGCAGGTTTGTCGTGGAGACCTCTTAATCATTAGAGTTGTATCTGAAACAGCAAGCAAAGCTACTGAGGAATACCTTAAAGGCTGCCCTGAGTCTCTTCTCAGGATGCCTATCCGGTGGCAAACTATCTGAAATAGCCAAGTGAGCAATTGCATCATCCACAGTACTAGCCTCTATAATTGAATCATCACGATTCCTATTGGTCACGAGCACCATCTTTTCATACTCCTCCTCTGCCGCCATACGACTCTGCCTCCTCTTGTCCTCCTCCGCCTTCTTTGCCAATGCTGCCTGCTCCGCCTCCTTCCTCTGCCTTAGTTCTGCCTCAGTAACCTTTGGTACCGGAGCGGCCACACGATTGGCTTTCTTATCCGGCTTCTTAATCGACTTCTCGAGTTCTTTCTCCTCTAACTCGGCAAGCCGACGCACCTCGACTTTCTTTGCTGCGGCCTCTGCTCGCTTCTCGGCTTCTTCTTCACGTTTCTTGGCGGCGCGTGGCTTGGCTCCTTCGGCCTCGCGCCAATACTGTTCTTCTTTTTCTCGGGATTCACGGTCTTTGCGCTCCGATTCGACGGCGTTCTTCCGAGCCCTAGACGTCTCGGCTTTACTATTCACTCCCATTTTTTTCGGCATCTTTCTTTGCCGATTACACGATCAATCTTCGTCGGCGATAACGTTCGGCGATTCCTGGATGACTTGGAAACCAGCTATGTCCCTGTAGATTGCAATTGCCTATTGTCAAAAGCTAAACGGAAGAGTTCGAGTATAAGCTTCTACCAAAATTTCTCAGGAACCGAATTCGACGAAGTGGGCCGCCATCTATTTGGGCTGAGCCCATACATCATTGGATTTGTTTGCGGGATAATTATGCCACATAGCCATTCGGCAAATTTGTTTAAACAAAAAAAAAAAGGAAACTAAGCAAATATTCCCATAAAAACAAAATAATTATAAATATATATCTCTTTACATTCATATCCCACTAAATAATTACACTATATACTCTCAACTCAAATATATATCCATTGATATTCATGTCCCACTAAATAATTTCGTTTAATTGATACTAAATATATATTGTGTTGGTATCATTAAAATTTCTTGTTCAGAAATTACTCATTAGTAAATGATATTATAGGATATATACTCATTGACTAATGAGTAATTTTTGAATAAGAAACCTTAATGATATCACAACAATATACATATACTCCTATAGTATCATTGACTAATGAATAGTTTATAAAATTATACCACAACAATATACATATACTCTTATAGTATCATTGACTAATGAGTAATTTATGAACAAGGTATTGGAGGAAAATAAATGCACTTAAAGAGGAAATGTAGAGTTGGTACAATCAAGGAAGATATATGTTAACTCTTAATGGCACCTATTCTATTTCTAAGAGTTATTTAGCAATTATAGGATATAAACCTACATGGAAGTTGGCTGCACTAGTGTGGACGTCAATGGCACTTCCTAAACACAGATTCTTAATGTGGTTGGCTGTCCAGGAAAGACTACTTACACATGAGAGAAAGTTGAGGTTACAGATTCAGGTTGATGATACTGCATGTTGTTTATGTGCTGAGAAAGTAATGGAGACTAATGTTCACTTATTTGAGAAATGCAAATGGATATCAACTGTGTGGCAAGCAATGAATCATTGGACTGAAGTGTCTATGCATAATATAGGTATAATGAAAGTTCTGGAATGTATAGACGGGAAACACTGGAAGCTATTTCAAAAAGAGATCATGGCAGCGATATGTGGAGCTATCATTTATCACACTTGGCGTGCCAGAAATTGGAGGCGATACAAAGGCAAATGTGTACAGACGGATGAGGCAATTGCACATATAAAGAGGAAATCAGAGAAAGGTTACAGTTACTTAGTAGTTCCAAGAAAGCAATGAAATGTAGGAATTTTATTCAGCATTTAATGTGTTTTTAGTTTTCTTATGATTTGGTAGGAGGCCTGTTCTTTGTTATCAGAGAAAGGTGCTCTTCATTTGTATTCGTACTTTTTGTTGGTTATGGTAATATATTTACAGTTGTTACCAAAAAAAAAAAAATATGAACAAGAAACCTTAATGATACCAATAAAGTATACTGATTTAGTATCATTTCAGCGAAATTATCAGTTTTAATAATACCAATACAATATATGATACTGATATAGTATCAGTTAAGCAAAAATTATCAGTTTTAATGAATAGGGGTATGAGCTGTAATTTTTTTTGAGAAAGTAAGTATTTTTTTAATTACTTTGAATTAAGTGAAGAAACTCACACGTGGCTTTAGGACTCACGTTCATGGCCTTTTGAAGATATATATTTTGCTTTCTTTCCTCGTTGTCTGCTAATGCTTCTTCGTCGTCTCTTACTTCTTCGTATCTCGCGAATGTAAATCAGAGTAAATTATATATTAAAAGATTTTAAATAAATTAAGATTATTTAAAAGTGATTTTGAGTTGATCAAAGATTAAATAGTCAGTGTATACTTCACGTATAGCAAGTGTATCATGCATGTATAGTTAAGTTATATTCATCTTTTTGAATATATCATGATCTATAGTCAGTGTACAACTCATGTATAGGTAAACTATATTATATAGTCAATGTATACGATTTATGACTTTTGATAAGTTATATTGTATGATCAATGTACATTTTCTATAACTTTTAACTATTTTTTATGTAAATAAAAATATGGCTATATTTATTGTAAACTACTTTATTGTATATATTTAAAAGTATCCCATTATTCGCACCAAGTAATCAAATTCATATGTGTTATTTAAGTTATTTGCACCAAGTACGTAATCAAGAAAAAAAGGAAACAAGAATGGTAAGAAATGATCAATTAGATAGCTAGTTTAATATTTTAATTCATGCATATTTTAATTCATGCGTGTCACTAAACAAACGATGAATAATAAGGAAAACCATAGTTAGCTTTTGAACATATCTTATTATAATAATATATATATTTCAAAAAGAGACTTGCTTTTAATTTATTTGTGTTATTCTACTATATTATAAAAGAGAGTTTAGGCCCAAATATAATATATAATACTCAAGATTGGGACTTTTCCCAATCTTGAATATTATATATTATACTTGTGGGACTTTTAAAATGAAGTTTCTTGAATATTATATATTATATTTATTATATAGTAGAACTTGGGCATAAACTCCCTTTTAAAATAATATAGAATATGTATATATATATCTCACAAATGGAAAAGTCCCAATCAAGGAAGCAACATAATATCATTTACAAATGACTTAAAAAGCTTTAAAATATTTAAAAGCTATATGATAAAATAGGTTCACTCTCAGAATTCTATCAGTCTCACATATATTGGGACAGAAAAAATAACACATATCATTTTAATATTACCAAAAAAGTATTATAAATAATAATAATTAACAACTTAAAATATCTGAAAGACATTTTAAAAGGGTTAATTTTGTAATTTTATCCATATCACATAAATTAGGACAAAGTGACCAGTAATGTACATTATTTCAAAGTTACATAAAAATATTATAAATCACAATAATTAATAACTTCAAACATTTTTAAAAAAAAT